CCGAAAGACTCGCGCAATCGGATGATTCGCGGAAATCCGGAAACTGCCGATATAATCGTGACGAATCTCCAGATAATTTTCGATTGGAATGAAAAAAGTAATTAGAAGTCCTGAACTTCCCCCCTCCCCCTCCCCTCCCCCTGTCACGGTTTCAATTTCAAAAGAACGCCCGTCATTCCTTCAATGGGATTTTAATTTAATCATCTCTATAGGACCTAGTGATTTCTAGGGGAATTTTATATTGGCGTAGTAACTCTTTTTTTTCTACATGTATCACGTGTCCAAGTCTTCGTAAAAAAATTTTGCACAACTGTCACAGAGATGGCGTCGAGAGAAACACCCTGTATATAGTTCGTTCGTGATAAACAGTACTACTTTTGATTTACCACAAATTTACACGTTCATGAATTCCATATGGTTAAATTCAGGTGGTACGCTTGTCGCGAATATATATATATAAGTCCAACCCCCTTTTCCTGGCTTCGTCGCATTCGCAGAATTCGTGACGCCACATAATCGCGACATGTGTGTATGTGTGTGTGACGATTCGCCTCGCTAATCTCAGTCGAGACTTTATTTGCTGAATGAGCAACGACGCGTTATTTGCGCGTACGTTTAATATATGAAAGACACACGCGAGTCATTTAACGTGAATGGTGATTTTAAAATGCGCGCCCAAATTGTCTTGAAATTTTGATATTGAAAAAAAAAAAAGTCTAATACATTTTACATTTTATTCCGTTCGCTCGTTGATATGTATGATTTTGAAAATTGTATGAAAACAAATTTTTTTTTTTTTTTAATAATATAATTTAATGCTCTCTCGCCGAGAGCGTGTATGCTTCGATGTAATATATGTCACTGTAATGCGACAGGGTTTGCACGTCGTTACTGTATGCTTGCGTAAACGTTAACGAGTCTACAGGTGTAAATCTTCGCTGAGATAAAGTCATGAATTATGTGACGTACGTTATTTGTCACTTGGGTGTATAAAGAAACGTGTGAATGATCAGTGCCTTAACCCACTTTTTGCTTTTGGTGAATGACGCTGCTGATACCATTTAACGACACGAGGAAGAGGCGCTCGTATCGGTGACGTGACAGTGATTTCGAGTAAAATTGATTTTTGTTTTCTTCAAAATTTGTATACGCGGATTTTTGAAAATATGATAGGGTGAAAAAATTTTTTTTTTTCTTTTTCCTCCTCATTGCATTTCGACCAGTGGGTTACGCGGCTGGGAATAATTATCATTAAACGATGATAGGATTCGCACGAGCACGTGGGCCCAGACACGTGGGTCGAACACCCACGTGTGTCATCCGGATTGATCGTGGGTTCTGGATGCACTGGTATTAACGATCTAGGAAAATAACATCCACGTGTAATCTCCGTGAGGAAGTAGGGGGGGATTAAATTTTTGGATTTTTCTTTTTTACAAAATTTCGACTGTCGATCGAGTTGCTGAAAAGTTAATTGATCGATAAAATTAGTATCCCGGCACTTTTGTATTTGACTCGTGAGAATTTATTGCACGTGGTGCACAGCAGGCGACCAATAACCTGACAGTTGATCAGTAATTATCGTTGGGGTCAATGAACTCGCTACGGCTCTTAATAATTCGATGAGTCATTTTTTTCATACAGCCGTGCATTTTTCTCTTAACCTGCCATCGAGCTCAGGTTGCGCTTAAACAATGCTGACGTACGCGATAAGAATTTCGCGTTGCCGATTTCGTCTGGTTACTTCCGCAAGCCCTTTTTTTTTTAGTGGTGAAAAAATTTTTTTCCCAGTCGGAAGGTGTGAAAAAAATTAACTTTCTCGTAGAAAAAAAAATTTATTTTGGATTACCACCAATCATTCACCAGCGACCTACTTTGTCCACAACCTCAAGGAATCTAGTGACTTTTCTACGCTCCCAGGGAAATAAACCGGCGCTGCCCACGTTCGTCGCAGGAGGGCCAACCGTTAATTTTCATCACGGCCGACATGCATATATATAGCGTATACGTAAATCTGCAATAAGATATACCGCAACATGGAAATTTTCCAAAATCGCATCTGCGTATAATCAAAAATTTTTCTCAAAATAAAAAAAAATTCAAAAATTCCCTACGTGACAAAAATACCTGTTGCAAATAATTTCTGGTTATTCTTTTTTTTTTTCATAATTTCTAATGACGATCGCAATTTAGTACCAGCTGTTTGGGATGCATCTGCATTCACTACGTAACAGCATACGTGCACATATGTTCCAGTGCACTGGACGATGCACATTGCGTGACCTTGTCAGCCACGTATGGCTCGCACGCGCAATTTCTGGACGCATTGGCTTTACACTTATGTATATATATACATATCAAACGAGCATACACATCATTCCCAAAGAAGAACGTACAAAAATTCAATAATAATTAAGTACGCTCAATTAATTTTGATTATCGTATACTATATATGATTACTAAAAAAAATAGTCATGTTTTTCCAAAAAATTAATTTATTCAAATTTTTTTTTTCAGTCGATATTAATAACGAGATATCAACGGCTGTATCGATATTATCAATTATCAAGCTTTATTCAAATATTTGATATTTAATTACGTACGACAATTATCATACTTTGATCATTAAATTTTTGGATATCACGAAATTCGTCGATTCCGTAAGTTTGTTCATATTTTGTTTAGAGAAAAATTTTTGAAACGAAATTTTATTGCCACAAAAATTATTCGTATGACTGTATATTATCCTGAAGATCGATTAGGAACAATCGATCATGATTATACGATGTATGTACACGTATGGTTGTACCAGGAAAACGTATGCAGCTATATTCAGGCTTCTACCCAAGTGACACGTTTAAATAGGCGTATCTATGTGCATTGGATATAATTAGAAACCAAGCTGACGATATATAGGTTATAGCATTGGAATCGAGCTTTTACAGTCATTTACGTAGATTCGTTGAAAATAATAATTTTTTTTGGAATAAATTATGAAACAAAAAATTTTTAATGATAACGCGACCTTTTCGGTAGCTGTACATATTTTTATCGATATTTTACGGTGCGTTAAGATTATATTGTAACTTTTCTTAATTCTCTCTGCCTGGCAGTTTTTTTTAGAGCTGACTAATCCTAAAGAATCATGCAACATGGTTAAAACCATTTAAATTGATAAGAACGTAATCGTTTGGTCTTATAAGAAAATTAGTAAGGGGATTTTTTAGAATTGATTATATATATATGTTGTTGTGTATATATATATATATATATATATTTTTTTTAAAGAAGGGTAGTTTTCAGGACTTTTTGTCTTGAGTGTTGGCAGTTTTGAGAACACTTGGTGTTTGTCAGGACGGGCCTGATAGCATTTAGATACGTAAGGTATACTGTCAGGACCATAAAGTGGCACTCACACCGAATTTTCCGAAAAAATTTTCATGCTACGCACTCGCAGTTCCGATGGGCTAAGAAATGATTTCGTTAAGCTAGGTTAGGCTAATATTTTAATACATGTCTCAAGGTTTAGTTTTTTTTTTTTTTTAAACGCATGGGCTTGCCATTGTGAGTAGTGGCATGCGTCCTCATAACTACCCTTTGACAAGTTTATATATATATATATATAGAATTTATAGCCGTTGTTATCATAGGTCGTAACGCGAATTTTGAAATTGAATTTATTTCGCGAGATCTAATATACGGTAAAAAATTTGGTGTGTCGTCCATTTTCCTGGTCGTCCGTCGAATTGTCAAATAACGGGAGTAAAAGGATCTTAATGGCTGCCACGATAAGAGACGAATAATAACACGCGAGTTTTTATCGTTACCCATCGAGTGAATTTTCGTTATCTTATATATTTAATAACTTCCATTGCTACAGATATAGATGACCCTAAGTCAAGTTTTAGATACGTGCTCGTGGTGTCGTTAAAAAAAAATAATTTGTATAAAATCTATTTTTTAGATTTTCAGAAAAAATTTTCTTGGTACATTCAAGCTGAAACACCCTGTACGTACGTGTACCGTATGTTGGGAACAATTAAACGGCGTAGAATCAAGCGGGACGAATTACAATAAAAAAAAAAAAACAAGCAAGAAATTCCTTGAATTCACAGAAAGATAACGATATACAAGATTATTCCCTGCTCCATGCTACAACCATGTTGGGACTTTCGTATCAGTCTGATTAATCAACGGGTTTTCAATGCGAATCATCGCAGCCACTTTCTGCCTGTCTGATACCTATACAGGTGTGCCTGATACAGGTATGCGTTCAAAAAACTTTTTTTAATTTTAAAAAAACAAAGTACCACCCGTAACATTAGGAATAATAAAGAAATTATTCCGTGCTTCAAAGAAACCCGGAAGTGGACTTAGGAATTTCCGTTCGATTTAAATCTATGTCTGATTATAGTGCGAAAGGTCAAAGGGCACCGGAGGCCAAAAGGAAATAGAATATCTATGTAACAGGCGATTTAGCGAGTATCGTAGATAATATAAAACCTATTTATCCAATATATATATATATATATATATATATATATGTAATACAGTATATCTGCATGACAAGAGAGTACAAGTGGTACTACGCGAGTCGAAAACAAGGCCCTTCCTTATCTAGTCAATAGTCATATATATATAACTATGCTACGTGGTAGTCAGAAAGGTTGGTACCCCTGCGCGCGTACGGCTGTTGCTTCTCTTTCGTATCTAGTTGACCCAGTTCTAGACCCAGAAGTGACGAGAGACCGGTAGAGGCTCCTCAGTCGCGGAGAGAGAGAGAGAGAGAGAGAGAGAGAAATACTCTCCAAAATTATCGCTTCACTTCGGTGCAGCTTCGCCACCTCCCCTCCCTCCCTCCCTCCAACTCCCCTCCACTCCCCGCTCTCATCTATCCAAAATTCCTCAGATCCAACTGCCTCGAATTCTCCCAGTTACTCGTACCAATTCCAGATTCAAATTTCCACCGGGTTTCTCGGCCTATTAAACAGCAGAGAAAAAGAAAAACTTAGCTACGAGGATCCGATAGTTGTTCGTAATAAATTATCATATCTTTTGGCAAAATATAAGTACCCACTCGAGCGTAATGCTCGGCGTATGGACGACGATGGGCGTTAGACAACTCGTCAGGAACGACGCCGTGCTCAAGGCCGACAGAGTCTTTTAAATGACTGGTCATTTCCAGGCGTCGTTTCGAAAGACGCCTTTGGACGACTTGTACGTCGTTTTTACAATTCTGATCCAATTCCATCGCACGTACGATAACGTCTTCGCTCCGTATACCCGTCTGCGATGCCTCGAAGAATTTCATTACTCGACGTAACGTACCAATACAAAGCGTGTGGCTGTTTGAGAACCTCTAGCGGGGATATCTGGAAGCTTCGCTTTTGGACGGAGCGAGCATTACGCGCACGCTTCTTCACTTGGTTTTATGAGAATGTACAGTGAGAGACTTGTGTACGTGGAAATCTTACTTGAGGTTTCTTACATTATCGCGCATTTCCGTTTCTTCTTTAAAAGAGCCTGGTCTATCCTACCGTCTACTTCCTCCATTACTCCACGTAGAAAAAGTCAACGTACATCGATGCCACAGTAATAACGGCTCGATTCGCACGGTAGAGATTTTATAATAGCTCGTTAAAAGATATATATGTTATACATAGAAAACAAACAGGCCGTACAGCAGTGCCAATGTTAACCAGTGCTTCTAGAAGCTTCTAGAATATTCCGGATATCTAGATATCCAGGATATCGGGGTCTTCCTGTAATGGAAGGTGGGAGAAGGCATAAAGGAGGGAAAAAAATAAAAATAAAAAAGGAGCCAACGAAGATTGGAGGCGAAGATAGGAAAGGAAGCACCAGGAGAGGATCCAGGCCAGTGGAAAAGGAAAGTGAGTGCCACTGTGGGTCTGCACAAAGAGGAGTAGGAGGAGTAGAAGAGAACTGCGAGTTGGGTGGTTGATTATGCAACAATTATTATCGTCATCACGATGATTATCCTGGTGCCGATTGCACGGTCTCGCTGATCCTTTTAATTATAAACAATTAGCCAGATAAATTGAATGTAGGATTTGAGGAAATTCTTTTTTTACATAATAATATTCTTCCACGTCCGTGTTGTCTCGGATAAATTTTCTTTTTCTTGTCACTCAATTTCTTTCTCGCTCTTGATTTTTCTTCTTTATTCGTTTACCGACTTCCGGTTCTTAAGGAACGCTCGCTATGTCAGACGAATAATGCAGAATGTATGATTCCAGGGAACGGTGGGTGACAATGAAGAAATAATAATCGAGCCATCGCGATGACACGGACGGAAAAGGAAGACGTCTTGGCGAACGTCGAAGGATGATGATACGTTTAATGGGATACGGCGAACGTCCTTGCTTCTGGAATCCAGGAAGAAACCTTCGAACCGACCTATCGGCCGGTTTCGATACTCGATACTGAAATACAAAGTCAAGATAAATTTAACCTCCACCGTAGAGAGGTTCCTTCGTTTAATTTACCTTTCTCCCGATTACGTCACAATCCGATCCTCATTTCCAATCGATGGATGCTAATTACTGACTGAGATCGATGAACGCCGTTATGCAGCTTATCGTCGTGATTACGCATCTACGATCCATGTAATTGAATGGCATTGAACTATGACCCAACCGGCCATCTTGGGACTTCACTAAAATCACTCGAAAGTCTCACTCGTATCTGCAACCAGAGTGCAATCGGACAAGTACAGATTATCCAGAGTAATGAAAAAATAAAAAAATTCAATTAATTTAGCGCCACCTCGTATACCAGTCCATCAAGACCGTCGTCGATGATCCGAATAGAAAATTTGTCACTGTCAATTTCAAACCGCAAAATATCCGACAACGAAATAGCGTGTGCGTGAATGATTAGGAAAAAAAAAAATTTAAGTACTGAACGATCAAGTCTTAGAAATGTTGGTGGTTCATGAAAAGTCCTGACGAAACGGGCTCTTAGTCATCAGACTTTTTCCGAGCAGGGGCGGCTTCAGGGGGGGCACCGGGCACGAGGGAGATATTCAATAATTCTAATACGTGGCTCGAGCGTAGCTTGCTTTCTTGCAGCGCAGTGACCTGATTCCTTGCATGCAAGAGTAAGAGTGTTTTCACGGAGAGAGGGGGCCGCAAAGAGGGGGGCCCTGAGAAACACGTAATACTCGTCACGGTAATAGTAATACAATATTATAGTGAACGTTAATGTCATTCATTTGTTATTCGATGAGAGAATCCTCTTGGGTAGTGTCTATGTTGAATTGCGGTCAGTGACGTCACTGTGAAAATTATAATTCTTCACTTTTCTCTAATAGAAACTATCGACAGGACGTGGAACTCACGAAGACGGTCCATATGCCAATTTTTGTTAACGTTATTTGATCTTTTTTTTTGGCTACCGTACTAAGCGGGGATCAAAATTTTTTTAGTTCTCATTTCAATAGTCATCAGTGTCTGTTGGATAATGACTACTGTATACGGATAATGTATAGGGGATATGCTTGCAAGCACCGATGTAGGTTATGCTGGTTATGTATGGTGGGCCTTTAGAATTTAGGTTGACCATATGGTGAACCGAACGATCTTGCTGTTCTCTTCCTTTTTATACCGTGAAACGTTATTAATATCATAACCGCGCTCTGGCGAACATACGGCTGGATCTTTGGAGCTGTAGCGTTGGTAGTGTCCAATCTTGACGATCGATATGATCGATGAGATAGATCCTGAAAGGGAAAGATTTATAATAGAACCAGTGTTAAGGTATGAGTATTGGGATTAGGTATATGCGTACGGAGTGATTCAGTATAAACTCACCAGCCGAAATTTCGTTCCACCCGGTATAGATGAAATGGAGTGGCTCGAATAGCCCTGCATACGGTGACCTTTCACCTATGATATATAAATTACACATGCGTATGCGTGACCACACGTCCTCGAAAAGTCATCAGGCCTTTTTCGTATCTCTCGCGTGGGTCACTTTTCGTTGTTACGAAATAATCTGGTCACCAGAATTATAGGGTCCATTCGGCATAAGGATGCTGCGATCTTCCACTTCCGTATATACGTTGCATCTTGTTTAGGTCCAAGGGATTGGCTGGGAGAAGAAAAAAAAAATTTGTGAGAGGAAAAATAAGTGAACGGGACCCCCCTTGCAGCTTCTCCCTCTGGACCCAATGGGATCCGAGTGGGTGAGGCATATGGTCCGGCGAACTCTGGTAAAAATAAATTCCTCACTTCCTCGTGATAGCGTGGGAGTGTGTACGCAGGCTTACGCATCGCGGGAACGCATCAAGGAGACTGTCGTGGACACGAGCGTCAACGGATTTGTGAAACAGCCTGTACGAGCACGGTGGGATGGACTCGGATGGACCCATGAAAAAGCGTGTTAGCCATGGAGACGTTTCCGTTTTGAAGAAGACGTAGTGGGGACCGGAAGTCGTCCGGTCGAGCGGGTCGAAATAACTATGATAAATAGAAGAGAAAGAAAAATTAATTTAATATATGATGATTTCATCTAACAATGTTTATAGGTTAAAAAAATGTTTTTTATTGAAATAATTATCATATATATTTGTAGGGATGCATATATGCATTGGGTATAGATATATGTATTTATTTACTGTACAAACCTCTATTACATACCTTTCTGTAGATGCACACAGCGTGACGCTGGTTATTACTCATAATGGCGGATGACTTTTATTATTTAGAGCGAAATGCTAGATGCTCGAAGGCTTTTCCTGATGAGGAAGAAACGATGGAATTCTTCAAGCCGTCGTTACAATCATTGCTCTAATGCGATTCTAATGAAGGGCGCTCCCATATATATTTATAGAGACTTGGATCGAATGGCTCTTGCCTTTATTCTCTTTTCTTTTTTTTTTTATTTAATTATTTACCAATTTTCCTTCCTTCCAATTTTCTTTCCCTTTCTCCCTTACCTTTTTTTTTCTTTCCCTTTCCCGTACCAGTATCCATTCTGTCTTACGAATTGCTTTACTTTTCTGGCTTTTTATATGTGCTCTTACGTTCATAATAATTGCACGTGCGTTATTGCTGTATCAGAAGCGCTTAAAGTCATGGCGATAAATAATAATTAATTCTACCTAATTAAGCGCACTTGACCGGAACACTACTTTTCATGAGATCCTGGAAATATTGCATAAATGAAAACTCGCCTTGTAGTACTTGATAGGCTAACGAGAAGAATCAGTGATGATACATATATATAGCACAATATATCTGGATAGAAAAAAGAGACATTCCCAAACCTCGTGGCAGCATCGAGATTCCAAAAAAGAGGTAGGAACGAGTGAATGGCGTGGAATAAAGATGGCGTCGTCTATTTCAAAAATAAATCCAGCATCCAATTCGTCCTAGGTAGGTATAAGGTTAGGTTATATACCCTGTTACACAGCAACTATCAAAATCGCATCTCACCAAGTAGTTTCCGGGCGCAATGATTTCAGGCCGATCCTAGATTGTCCGGCATATAAATTCCCCTGCAGGGCAATCCTTCCGGTTCTGTACGAGCCGCTGCTTGTGTGCTCCCATATACCGGGTGCCGGTATTAATTTTTAGATGGGAGTTAATAGCAGGTGGGAGAATCACTGGCGCTTGGTATAAACTTAGTAGACGTCCCTGGACATGCGTCTAATATAGCGATGCAGCCGTGGAATATAGGTCGCATGCTAGAACGAGATTTTATATGTGCCACACGTAGAGAGAACGCTATTTACATATGCGTATCTATATAGCACATAAGCGTGTACTATAGTACGGTATACTATAATACTGTATAGTTAGCAGCATCACAGTATAGCACAGAGACTCTATGCTACTTCATGCTAAATACGAGATAGAGACTCACCTATGTATAACCATATGTAATATATCCACATGCCTTTTGTCCCTAGTGCGCATGCGCAAGACCTCAGGAGAACCTGCGGCTTCTGCGTGCCGCACGCGTTCACCAGGTCGCAGTCGTACGCGTGACTTGCAGCAGGATGTTTCACGTGTACACGAAAGTTTTTCTAGTCCTGTCTGGCTATACATGGGAAAGAGAATAATTATTAATCTAATTACCGTACACGATATGATCTTTTTGTTTGTATGAAATTTTGTATTTCTTCTTTTGAGCTTACTTCAATTAACTTGAGGTATCATATCTTATTCTAATTCTCGTGGGGGATCCACGCGTATGACTCGGCTGCCGCTACGGCCGGCATAACAATGCATGACGTAACCTCTGGGGTCGAATCCTCCTCACCTCCTCTGGTACGACGTTACAGGAAAGTGAAACTCTCGGAAAGCAGGTCACACCCACATCGTCACTGTATACGTTCCAAAACCCGACACTACGTCACTCCAGAGAAGAGTGTCTCGTAGGAGTAGGATATCCTAGTATTTGACAAATTAATTTACTCGATCGTCCAGAATCTTATGGCCGCTATCCGCTAAAACTGTGGCTTAAGCTTTAAACGTATGTATTCCTCGACTAATCGTGATTTATAATACAGACCAGAATCGCATCGTGTAAGCTGCTTCGTTTCGTAGAGTGTCTATTTATCACGCGAGGTTACAAAAACTTGACAGCTCCCGTTGAATCCCTATGGAAAATCCATGGCGGTCTTGTTCGCTCGGCGCATGCGCACTGCGCGGGCTGCAGTTGAAACGGCGCGAAGTTCAGTCGGTAAGGTCGCAGCAATTAACACGTGGACAGGGACGATGGTAACAGTTGTGTCTGTTAATTGAAATATTAGAATCTCGAGGGTCATACGTTATTTGTCTGCTTGTACTTTAGGTAGTACCTTTTATCGTGCTACGTGGTAAAAGTGTCACGAGGTATTGTATCGAAGCTTTGGGAGAGCCGAGTTGGCTGTGTATATAGCGTGTTAAATATATTTGGCGATGGCCGTTTTCTAAGAACGACCTGGCCGCTTTGGCGTATCAAGTGCACCGTTCTAAGCGATGCCTAGTTCCTCGGGGCTCAGGAATGTCAGCGTGCTGCACGCACTCGATTCTCGAGAGACAGAGGGACAGTGGCTGCTGGTAACTACGACCCAGTGCGCGTACAATGAATATACAGCCTGCCAGAGTAAGTGTGAGTTTGTACTGTTGGCAAAGCTGGCCCTAACCTATATAACCTATATAACGAGAGCCAGAATAGAGACTAAGCGGATAGATGGATGAACAGATAAGGTAGATAAGTAGATAGATAAAGAACTCCCTGTTAGTGTATACAAGACCTATGGCGCACTTGAATCAATTTTAAGACCCTGTCTTGAGTAAAACCTGTAAGTCGTTACTTTTGACGCTGCGGAGTAAAGCGAATGAATATTTCGTATATTTTGAACAATTTTGTAATAGAAATTTTACATCTTTTTGATGTGTGTGTGTGTGTGTGTTTGTGTGTGTGTGGGGGGGGGGGGGAATTTAAA